AGCAATATGCCATATTAATTTTTCAATATTATAGTGCTATAGTTTTGTTGTTTGTGTTTACTATCTCAGAAAGATTAAAGCAAAATTTCCATAGTGAATCACTGAGGATTAGGAAGGCCTCTATAACACTGCTAAAAAAGTACAAATCATAAGCCAACATCCAATGTACATATTCTTTGTAGATTTTTTTTTTAGGTAGTAAAATGTATTTATATCATTGCTACTTAAAAAAGTTTTAGGAAATTGCTTATTACTAGAGGAATAGAAATAAGTGAAGAAATTTAAAAATAATATTTTTGTTTGTTTGTTTTTTCTAGACAGTGTTTCTCTGTGTAGCTCTGGTTTTCCTGGAACTCACTTTATAGACCAGGCTGGCCTCAAACTTAGAGATCCATGTGCCTTTGCCTCCTGAGTGCTGGGACCAAAGGGTGTGCCACCAGCACCCAGATAAAAATAATCTCTTTACCCAATCTGCTACCAGTCCTTAATATTATCTGTAGAACAGAATGACTCTAGAATTACAAGTTATCTCTATGGTTGTAACAGTTGAAACATTTTATTTGCCATCATAAAGCACGGAGCTATGGTATGATATTCAGAAGTGAATGAAGTCAAGTTGCAGGTCACACATAGTCAGATTACATCCTTAATTCTTTCTTTTTTTATTTCCCATTCTCCAATTCATTTACTTATTCTTAACTCTTTCTGGATACAGCAGCCAGTCTTGCGCATGATATGAGAGGAAAACCACCCCAAAGGGAAATGAGTCACTTAGGAAGGCCAGAAGACCAGAAAGGCTGAGGCTAGCTGGCTAGACAGAGACTCAGCCTCTCCTTTCTGCCTTTTCACTCATGACTCCTGACAGCACCACTCTGCCTGACTCACCAGAGAGAAACATGGCAGCCCATCCCACTTTGCTCCTGCTCATTCTCCACGTCCCTCACATGCAGGCAAGACACGCAGACAGGACACTCAGGCTCTGGGAAGTGGCTTTTCTTTAGCCATTTGCCCACCCTAAGTATGGTGGACCTGGCCTAACGTGACACTGCTTTGCTCTTCCTGAGATGGCACTACCATCTTGGATGGCAGCTCACTGCACAATTGCACTCCATCGTTTTTCACTGGAATAGAAGCTCCATGGCACCGAAACTCAGTCCATCTTGCCCATCCCTTCTGGGTCAGTGCTTGGTACATTATTGGTACTCAATAAATACTTACTGAGTGAATCAAAGAAGTATTTTTTAGTCTCTGTTTTCCTTTCCCTGAGCCTGTAAGCATGCTCAAATTTCTTCCATCAAATAAACCAAACAATCCACATATCCTCTGTACCTCCTACCACCAAATGCCCTCAAATTAAACCAGACTAGTCATAGCCACTACCTTCTCTTGCCCACGCTTTACAACCAACTTTCTTAAGAGCAAATCAGCCGGGTGGTGGTGGCGCACGCCTTTAATCCCAGCACTCGGGAGGCAGAGCCAGGAGGATCTCTGTGAGTTCGAGGCCAGCCTGGGCTACCAAGTGAGTTCCAGGAAAGGCGCAAAGCTACACAGAGAAACCCTGTCTCGAAAAACCAAAAAAAAAAAAAAAAAAAAAAAAAGAGCAAATCATATGACATATTTTCCTTCTGTCCTGCTTCTTGCTTAACACTGTAATCCTCCCCTTTCCTCCCATCTATCTGTTCATGCGCCCTTTCCTCTTTTCTTATTTCTATTCATCTGTTCTTCCCTTCCTTCTCCTTCCTTCCTTCTTTCCTTCCTCCCTCCCTTCCTCCTTCCCTCCCTCCCTCCCTCCCTCCCTCCCTCCCTCCCTCCCTCCCTCCCTTCCTTCCTTCCTTCCTTCCTTCCTTCCTTCCTTCCATGAATGCCTACTGTGTCCTAGGCACTAGGCTGGGACAAGGCGGTGTTGAAGATATAGTCTCTACAGTGGAGCTGCTCTTCATTTGGTGGATACATACTTGTATGTAAACTTAAGCTTCTGGGGCCCAAGTTCCATTTGAGCTAAGCAATGTACTAGAGTAAGGAAAGCTGTGGATTAAAGAGACTTTTGCTAGGGAATCAGCTTTACACCAAAGAAGTAATAGGAAACATAACAATCAAACTAAAACCAGTATTTGGAACAGCATTAACTATTAAACAATAACAACACAAGACTTAAAAAAATAAGCATGCCAGGCTGGTGAAAGGGCTCAGCAGTTAAGAGCACTGACCGTTCTTCTAGAGGACCCAGGTTTGAATCCCAGCACCCACATGGTGGCTTATAACCATCTGTAACTCTAGTCCCAGGGGTATCTGATACCCTCTTCTGGCCTCCATGGGCACCAGGTATGCATGAAGTATACAGACATACATGCAGGCAAAACAGCTATACACATAAATCAGTAAACAAAAAATAAAAACAGGCATGCTGTAGGCTGTTTTTGGACATGGCCCCAGGAAATGTTAACCTAAGTCCTCTGTCACTGGGGGAATCTTTCTTAGAAAAGTCTCAAAAGCATTGATAACTATGCGGCACACATAAGATGGCATATTAGACTGGAGGTAGGAATGCCAAGGAGGAGTAAACTCTGAGAACCAATGGTCCAGTTCTGGAGAGTGACAGACCCGATGCTTTTAGACAGGGACAACACTTGAGGTACTTACTGAAAGACAAGTGGCTCCTCACCATGTGGAGGGACATTT